TCACCAAAGCAAGTATATACATATATGTACCTTCTCCAGTCTATGTAGCAGATAGGTCTTAAACTGACGAACACCACGTCCACTCGACGTAGCATCCATCCTATGAGCCTTCTCAAACGCATGAAACCGGCCTGTGTTTCACAAAAACAGAGTATTACACAAATAATCCTGACCGTTTTGTCTTTAAAAGCCAATCACACTAGTGTAGTACTATGTCTATGTTAAGAAATCATGTATACAACATCTTTAAACAGAAACTAGCTATGAAAAAACAAGACTTTATTCATGTTTGAACTCACAGAGATAAGCGACACGAGGGTTATCTTTCTCGATTTCATTAGCAACGCGAAGAATGGGAGCAATAGAAGCGAGAGAGGAAGGAACCAGCTCGCTATCCATGGCGCTAGCATCTTCATTTGGCCTGTCAATCATCATAGTGGTCGCACGCGACGGAGCTCTCCGAGAGAGAGACCGTGGCAACTCCGCCGTTCCACTCGTACTAGCTTCCATTTGTCCGCCGTGAGTCCAAACAATTAGATAGTTTCTTCGTCAAATAAACAATCTCACTGAAAACAAAGTAACCAATTATCATATTTGATAATTAATCTCCTTTTGTACTCACTTTATAGAAAACACAAAAGCAAAAGGGTTTTCTTCAAGAGATTGGTTAATTTTATATCTTATATTTCTGCTTTCTAGCTTTTTCATCCTTTGATCTTTCTTTTTTTCCCTCGCTTTTTGCTTTTCTTATTTTATTTTCTAGTATAGTACGAAGCTCTTTTAAATTCTTTTGCTTAGCGAGGAAGGTGACAGTGGAGAAGAGGAAAACAGAGAACTCTTGATGTGACCACAAATATCCAAAAAGACCATAACGGCTATTTAAGGAATTTTTACCGGATTCGTCAAATTCACGCAAAACATTCCAATTTCCAAGTACGACACAATAAACGAAATAATGTCATTTGGTTTGGTTCACGAGATGCGACACCGTATTTGAAAATAACAAAACGACGCTGTTTAGAAAGGACGATCAAGCAGCTTCCAAGAAGTAAGAAGTAAGAACTAAGAACACATATTATATCCACTAGTCCCAACACATCATGCAACCTAAAACGTTTTTAAAAACTGTCAATCAAAGTAAAATATTTACAGAGCTCTCTCGGAATCAACCTTCATTCTATCTTATAAACAGTTTCTGTCTTCGAAGGCGACGCAGAGAGAAGAAAACGAGCTTTGCTTCTACTTTCATTTCACTCCACCACTGACACACCATGCTGGGCCTAGAACCATGAGGGTTTTTTCCCGTTAAAAGGAGAAGAACATTGGCGGATTTTGGCTTCAGAATATATAGTTATGATGATGATTCTTTGAGTCATATAGGACTTGCCTTAGAAACCTTTGCACCACCGAGTCCAAACCAAAAACATGTTTAGAGACATCAGACATCCCTAACTATGTATATATATGACTTCCTAATTGTGAAGTTAATCAAGAGAATCTGTGTACCTGGTTTTTGGAAACGGTTGTGGAGGTCCACTGCTGAGGAGGCTGTCTAGCAACAGTTTCATAGTTGACATAAGTAATCCTTCTGGCTTCTTCTTGTCTACTCGCAATGTTTTGAGGTGGTAGCTCCCGCAAAACCCATAAAACGAAAGCCAATGGTACGGTGGAACCTGTCAGAACAAAGAGCGTTCTTATCGATAATACTACACATTTGAGGTCTCAACAACACGGCAAAGAGAAGAAAAACTCTTCACCTATGAAATAGTAAATGATCAGAAGAACCAATGCCTTGATACCATGTAACTTGCTTGGATTCCAGTGATAGAAGAGCTGACAACAGACAACAAGTATTGGTCAACCGTAATGACACTTGTTAGGTCTCGGTTTACGAATATGCAATAATGTCTTACCGGAATGTGTGTGAGAAGAGCGATAACAGAGCTAACGGTGAAGCAAACAACTGAGACGCCTGCTAAACCCGATACCTATAAATGGTCAAAAGTGCACTTCCAGTGTAAGGATTCGACTGGCAAAACAAATTTCAGGAAGCAATAAGAATCATTAGTTACCTTCCGCATCTCTGCTGAAACTTGTTCAGACCGCACCTTCCTTAGATTAAAAAGCAGACGCAGGCCTAAAGAGCGAGCAAGAACATTAAAGAGTTTATGAATATACGTTACTCGATAAAGCCTAATGGTCTCATAGCTAAAACAAGAAAAGAAGTGAAGCAAATCACTCACCATAGAAGCATATTCCTCCTCCTGCAATTAAGACTATTGCGGCAACAATATCAACATATACCTAACGAAGAAGTGAACTTATTAGAAAACCAGAAAAAAAGTAACAGACCAAGTCATGTGGCGAAGAAGAAATACCACAAACCTGAGCCAACAATGAAGAATCGGTAGAATTCTTTCCGGAAGCAATCCAAATAAGAATTGCAAATGATATCATCAAGATGAACACAAGAACAACCGCCTAGCATAAAAAGATAAAAACATTTGTAAAGATCATAGGAATGGCTAAGGCTAGCGGCTAATGAATGCAGAAACCAAAAAGTATCTCATTACCGCAACAACAAACTTCTGACGAGTACCAACATGAATCCCATGGAAAGAGCAACACTTTCTTCGGTCACTCGCACTCGTAGAACCTGCTTTGTTCTTGCTTTTCTCAAGCAACACTTGCTGGTTGCTACTATTTTCTTCATCATCATCCTCCTCCTCCTCTCCATTTCCCTGATGGCAAACATCTACCCTATAACATTAACAACCATCATCAGTCTCTTATCTGTAAACAAACATCACCTAACAAGATCAGACTCTACTTGGAAAAGTATTGAGAATATACGTACCAGAAGGAGAGAAGCAGAAGAAATGTTGCAAGAAACAGAATTTTCGGAAACGCTACAAGTTCAATACCATTCATAAGGGACTAGACTAAAGGAGAAATACAGAATCTTTGCAAGGGAATATGATTTGTACCCATGAGTAGAAAACCTAATGCGTTGGACCAATGATGCCACCTTGTGCAAGTTGCTATAACCGCAGCCACGAAATAAACGAAAGAGCCTGCCAAAAGATAGAGTAGAGACATTTTACTCATCGCTGCTCCAGACTCCACAAATCGAAATTTCTCGCATTATCTTCGTTTCAAGAGTTTACCAGTGTTTGAAGAGCCAATCATAAGATGAAGTACCTACAGTTTCCATTGATGTAAGTATCAGATACACACCATGACAAGTAACAAGAAACAGTAACATAGAAGCTAAGTTTGGAATTGATATAAGAAGAAACAGGAAAGAAGAGAAGAATTTTACTTTTTGGCGCGTCCATCCAACTCGTCTGTCTCGCCTGCGAAATCGAGCTAACTGAAAGCAGTAGGCAGCCAAGATACATCTTATAAGCCACAAACCAACAAAAAAAAAAGAGAATAAGGCTTTTTATGCCTAAAACTACATAGGAACCTTGAAGAATCTTTAATCTACACTCATATTAGCACTTTTCAAAAAACAAAAGGTTTCTACTTTTCTACTGATGATTCGTATCGGATTCAGATTCCATGAATCAAATCTCTCATTCTATAATCTCCGTCAGTTAATCTGAAGAGTTGACCTGAATCGTAATAGTCAACCACCGCAACAACAGAAATTACAGCTCTCTAACACTAGAATCACCCAATTCATTGAATTTCAGCACCAAAAATCAATAATTTCGGCTTAGAAACACGAAACTCAGCACAATGCTTCACATTCCAAACAGACTTAAAACGGTGGCACACAATCTAGCATCCAGAAATCGAATCGGATTTCCAAGAAAACGACAATACCCGAAACTTATGGAATAACAAAACCTAGAAATCGCAATTCTCAGGAAGAGAGAGAGAACAAGCAACCTGAATGAATGCGATGAGAGCGAGAGCGCCATCGATTAAAGCGAGACAGAGATTGACGGCGATGAAGCTCGGGGCATAGCATTTTCCCGTTGTTGATTCGAAAAGGGTCTCTACGATCGTCATCACGAATCCTCTCTTTTTCGATCCTCCCTGAGATCGAATGCCGAGATTTTAGGTTTGTGGAGAGAGGATCAAAGGGACACCGAGACAGATGGTTGTAGGAGATGGGTTGGGTCTGGTCTGAAAACAAATATTAATATATCACATATTTATTTTTGGGAAAATACAATTAATTGTAAAATTTAGTGAAAAATACTGTAAGTGGTAAGATAAAGAGACTCTAGAATATACTTACCGCCCAAAAGAAATCAATTTATTTATACTCGGACTCTTTTCAGTTTACAGTATTAATTTTAAAATTAATAGAGTATTGTGAATTTTTTAGTTATCAACATTAAAATTAGATAACTATGGAGGATACTAATATCAAACATTAATTTATTGAAAAAAATACATTAAGAATATTATTATTTGAGTTGAATCGACATACAGTACATTAATTTTTTTGTTGTCGACAAAAAAAATATGATTTTCGTTTGTCTTTTTGCAGTTAAGATGAAAATCTAGGGAAAAAAGTCAAATTTAAAATTTACGGAGAACATCAAATTCAATTCTTCAGTACTCTTCAGTCTTCACCCAATTCTAATTTTGTAAACCCTTCTTCTTCGCCTCAATGTGAAACAGAGTCACCTGGTTTCTGCCACTCTCACCACTCTCCGGAGCGAGTGTGTTGTCACGGCGAATAATCCGTTGCCGACCTTTCTCAGGTACTTCTACATATTCCTAATTCTGCTGTGTGATTTAGGAGATCGTAAGAAAAATGCAGATTGTATTATTATTATTAACTCGCTTGTATTCAGAGATAAGAGTCAAATAAATACATTAGATAAGGGAATGATCTTATCTTTATTCTACAGCAATACATGTTTGAAAGAATATCCTAAAAAAAAATCTACAGGCAAAAAGAATCTGTCCTTCTTGTTGCTACCTTTTGTGTACAGTTGCTTTGATGGACTTGTATCTCTACAATCAACAAGAAAGATTTATATATCAGCACATTTTGTTGGTGCATAACCAAGCCTAGACCTCTTCGTATCATAAAGTATATGAAAATTCTGCTGCTGATAATTTCCAATGATGGAAAAAGCCGATTTAGGAGTTCCAAGAATCGCCAAGCAAACCAAATCCTCGTTCAACCAAATGAAAGAATTCTCCGTCGGGAAATTCCAAACCGCACCGTCTACAAAAGCAATCCCAAGCTCAGGCAGCTGAACATTACCGACGTGTCCGGAGACGTTGAAGCAAGGATCCAAGACCGGGAAATCTCTGTACACAGGGTACTTCCCTTTCAACTTCTCTGCAATCTTGTTCTTGATGATCTCATAAGCAGGCTCAGAGAAGTAACTTAACGTCGTCCCCGAATCGATGATTGTTCCCCCAGCGCCATCCGTTGAGATGTTCCATGTCTCTTCAGGTATGTTTAGAACTTGCCCTGCGACTAGAACGGATTTGATCTGTACGTAGTAGAACGTGTCGACGAGGTTTTCTTTCCCGGCGACGAAAGAAGTGAAGTTCAGATTCGGATGAGACAGCAAACCCTTGTCTTCTCCGAATATCAACTTGCTGCTCACGTTTGTGTCGCTGTTTCTATCGACAAGGCAGTAAGAGAAGGAGTGACCGTACAGAGACTGAAGCTGAGAGGAAAACGAAAGCGGTCCTCTTCCTAAACCAAGCAGCCCTGCAGCTCCATGGAAGAGTCCTCTGTTCCAATGACCACAACCGAACATCATGTCTTCAACGTTGTACAACTCCGAGCTCCCTCCGTTGGTCGTGAGATTCACCGTGAAAGTCTCCACTGCGAAATCTCCGGTGGTGTTGGAGCTATCACCGTACCAGTAGTAGTAAGGGCATGATTGGTTATCTGACTTGCAAGGCTTTGGAGGATCATCAGGTGATGTGACTAGGTTGCATCTTGGGTCGTTGCAAGTTATGTTTTTGAAGGAAGTGGAAGCTGTTGGGTCGTAAAACGCACCGTTTTGCTGGAAACAGTCGTGGCAGGGTAAGCATTGGATCCAGTTTAGGTCACTTCCTGTGTCGAGGATCAAGGAGAAGTGTTTTGGTGGTGAACCAACCAACACGTCCATGAAGTACTCGCCTGAACCGAGAGTCATACCGGACTCGAGTGTTGCCACCAACTGACCAGACTGCTCCTCTTCCGGAGGAGGAGAAGAAGCCACCGGAGTTGTAAGTACCACTTGTGTTTTTTTCTGTTTCTGCTGTTTGGAGGAAACAGTGTTTTGGTTCTTCTTCTCCAAGACTCTTCTGTGAAGCATCTGGATTCTTGTGAGATCTCGGATTTGGAGCTCAAGAACTGAATTAGATGATGTTGTTGTTGTTGTTGTCTTCTCTGTTTCTTGCCTCGTCTCCCGGCGCTTTAAATGAAACTTCACCGTCTTGCTTTCTTCGGCCAGTAACTTGGTGGGTTTGTTCTCCGGCGAAGAGAAGCCGCAATCGTCGCTTGTGGAAGAAGAAAGAGAACCGAAGCGCATCGGATTCGGAAAGTCAAACCCGGAAAAGCCTGATATGTTCTTCTGCTCATTGTTTCCGGCCAGAGCTCTGGAATCGCCGGTGACAAAGAAGAAAATAAGAGAAAGAATGATACTGTGCTTGGACAACATTAGGAGATATGTGGCCTCTTATGCCCTGAAAAACAAAAATCGCCGACAACGATCAAGCTTCGGATTCGCCGGTAAAAGGAAAGTAAGATGGAAATGAAATGAAAGATTTAAAAGCGCAGGCGCAGAAGTTGTCTTCTTTTGGATGAAAATTATATTAAAAAAAAAAACAAAATTTGGGAGAGATTTATTAGTTTCGATTGGAAGGATTTGATTTTGAAGGAATAGAAGAGAAAATGAGCTGAGAGAGAGGAAGAGAGGAAGAGCAACAAACAGTAAAGGGGTCTGGTGAAGTACTGATAAAATAATAATTCATATTTGTTGACCAAAGTCATCTTCTTCTTTCACGCGGTTTCATACGAAGAACCACACATGAGGAAGGAAAAAAGGGCAGTAACAATTAGAATAAAGGGAATTTGTGGAATGGTTCTACGGAACAATGTTTGGTGCGGTTTTGTATATTGGTAATCAGAAATCAGAAAATTGTAGTTTGACCTATATACTTACTCAAGTAGTAGATTTTAATAGCCATAGAGTAATCAGAAATCTATAGAGAAAATTGTAGTTTGACCGCTAAACCAAACAATTAGACATCTCTGTAGAAAAAGTCGCTACCAACAAACTATCGATCTACCACATTAGTACGACGCATGTTAAAACTAAATACCTCGTGCAAATAATATACTAGTTCAAAATATAACGCTTTATCATTATGGATCCTTGTCAATACTTAAGTGTGTAATTAACTTACTAGTACTATAAAGCAAAGACGTTAAAGTTGACTGGTTAGAGAATTCAATGTAAGATCAATTTTAAATTAAGTAGAGTTTTGTATAGTTGACGGCAAGAGAAGAGTCCTTATTACGTTTTCTTTTTAAGCTGTTTGACTTTGACCAATCGTCATAAGATTGTTGAAGACAAGGAAATTAACTAAACTACAGAAAAAGTTGAGTTGTTTAATAAAATGGTCGTTGCAAGAAATCTGGAGTGACAAAGGCTCTAATAATTTTTTTCCATCAAACTATTGGAGCTATGGCTGATTGGCTGCAAGAAACATGAAGACGTACGAAAGCTTAGATCCACATAATTATCCTGCTTATTCAGATTATCATTTCTACAAAACAACAAAAGTAACATAATTTTCAATCTTTTTTGTAGATAAGGATTCGAAAAAAAAACGTTCAACGAATTATAGCTAGCTGGACTAGATATCCAGGCTTAAATATAATGTTTGATTTGTAAAAATTTCAATTTCAAATATACAAAACTTTGGTATCTTATTTTTCACAATCAAAAAAGACATTTTGAAATCTGATAAATTCGTCAATGTCATTCCAGATTTCGCTGCCATACTAAAACATCTATATCCGAAAAATTACAAGAAAAACCAATATTTTTATGGGTCCAACGACACAATCCACTAGAGATTTTAATTTACAGATACGAACTTTTGAAATTTCTTTTACGCTTGAAGTTAGAATTAGAAAAAAACTTATTTGGACCTTCAGATCAAATCATCACAAGGCCGGCGGCGGAGCAGATCGGAGAGGGACGGAAAAAGGCGGTGGTGGAAACGAGAAAAAGCGAGCAGCGGAATTGAAATTCAGATTGAAAACTATATAATAACGAGGGAGGACATCATGATCCCCTAATTCTGATTTGTTTATTATCCACATGCTTCTCCGCTACTTCTAGCCTTTCAACATTTCCACCCTCCGCCTCTAATCCGCCTTCCTGCATCGCGTCTGTCGCCACCGCCGCCTGAAGGTTTCAAAACGGTCTCTTATAGAGTTAGGTTTCGTTTGGGCCTTTTCTGATTATTGTTTAGGCTAAATTAGGCCGTGTGTCTAAGCCCAATAACATCTGCAGGATTGCTAAAGTTGTTATGAACTAATATAATTTGGGCTTTTTCTGATACATTCATGTACTGGTTAGAAGATGAATTTAATGATCTCCAACTAGGCGACGACTTATACCGACATGAGTTTGACCAAATGAATTCAATTAATATATTATGGAGGATATTTGGGGTTTCATGAGTTATGATTGGAAACCGTGTTCATGTATCTTTGCTCGATTCGGAAAACAACATTTAGTTTATCATCTACAATAAATAATTATATACATATATTTAGCTCACCACGAACGAATCTATCTATCGGCCTAGTTCACAAATGACAAGTTGCAACTCGAATTATATAGAAGTCGACACAAAATGAAACCAAAAATAATTTGTTTCGACCAAGTGTTTTTATCCGGTACGTTTCTATATGTGTATATATACATGGCTACAAACGAAACTTTTGTTGCTTCACTTGCTTGGCTCATATCCTTCTATAGCGTTGAATCGACGCCGTTATAATCTCGTTTCTTTCTTTGAAAAGGGCCAAAAATACTTTAAGGAAAACGTCTTCTTTCGGTGGATGCACTAGTCAGAATTGCCCCCACTACATGTAAGTTGTATACATTATATACCGCACCAGTAATGTGTTTTATGTTAGAGCCTTAGAGGTTGAATATTATTAGATAAGTATTTAAAATAGTGCAATACCCTATAAGTAATTTAATTGCAGTGTTAATGTTTTCAAGAATTTTTATTACATTATATTATCTATGTAGGTTTATGTACGTTCAAAACTTAAGTGATGAGGATTGAAAACTGATAAATATGAAATTTAGGTGATAAGGGTTCGAATATTAATGTGAGCAGAATTCTGGTGGACCATGCAATGTCTGTGGTCCATGACAACGAGTCACGACGGTCGACAAAATATTATTGCATTGCCTACTTAGGTTCGAAACTGTTACTAATATCCAAACTTTCGTGATTACAAGTTGCCAAAAGAAGGTGGTGCTTTAGGTTAGTGACAATATGAAAAGTTATCTTTATAAGAAAAAGAAGAAGAAGATAATACGGAAATTACAGGTTTTTAATAAATCTGAAAATTTCATACAAAAATCCCTAATTTATAGCACAAAAAACCTTACCATGTTTTACTAGTCAACATTTGAAGTAAATGCAATGTGGAAAATGTCCGGTGGAAAAAATGAGGATTTCTCGATATGATTTCCGCTAGCTCGGTTTTAATGAGCTCTGACAGGAAATTGAATTCAGCTATTTATTTTTCGTAACGTGAATTCAGGTAACTATAAACCTTTCATATGATACTTCCTGTAGATTATGATAAACTCACAAAAGCATCGTAGAATATACAGAGCTTTAATTTCGGATTTTTTTTTAATTTATGAAATAAAACTATTCACTGAAAGAAATATTTGGGGATGTGAGATTTGACAAAAACACCCTTAATCATTGGTCAAGACTCAAGAGTTTCAGATAAGGTACAGATCAGAAACCACCTCTAGAATTCGAGCAATAGATCTCTCTCACCTCCACAATACCACATACATGATCCAACGGAGGTGTGGGTCCTACTAGCTCTTAACTCGTTGTCTGACAAGTCGCCACGTGTCGAGCATCCTGATCGGTTTCAGTACCATTGCCCCCACCGAATCATTTTTCTCCCCTCGCTTGCTCGCTGTAATCTCTCTGCTTACTTTCCCTCTCTTGTCGCTTTCTGTCTGAACCTGGCAAGATCCTTAGCCTCTCTTTCTCTTTTCCTCTATATCTCTCTCTCTCTCTCTGTTCTCTGTTCTGTTTCCTCTTTCATCTCTCAGTATCTGAACAATTTACTTATTTTGAGAGAGAACACCGAAGGGGGTTAGGAGGGAGAATCTTTTCTTCTTCTTTTCCTCTCCTAACTCTGTCTTGTTACGTGTGACGCAGTCACAGATATAGCTAAATCTTTACTTCACTCAAGAGGCTTCTAAATCTGGTAACTGCTTTTAAAGCTTTGTGTTTCAAGAGCTTACTATATATAGGAATTAGTTCCTTTTTTGCCTAGCTTGTTAAATTATTCCTCCTCGATTGCTGGAGAGATGATTTGTTTATTTTTTACTATTCTCTCGATCTTTTCTAATGATTACACTGTTGAGATTTGGAATAATATTTGCTTTCATCATCCTTTTATGCTCCTTGTTAATCATTTTCTTAATCACAAATCAAATCACTAGGCTTTTTTATTCACTTACAAAAAAAAGCAATACTATAGTATTTTATTCTGGTGTCTCCGCAGATCTGACATGGAGCACCTGTTTCCTGATTGGAATTTTGAAGATAATTTTCACATGTCCACTAATAAAAGATCAATCAGGTATATTTTATAATTATCAGCTTCACTTTTAATCATAACTACTACTTAAGCTGTGTTGTTTATTTATATGTTACATTTTGGGCAGACCAGAAGATGAACTAGTGGAGCTATTATGGAGAGATGGTCAAGTGGTTTTACAAAGCCAAGCTCGTAGAGAACCATCATCAGTCCAAGTCCAAACCCACAAACATGAAACCCTACGGAAACCAGACAACCCTTTTCTTGACCACCAAGAAACAGTTCCAAAACATAACAACACTGAAGATCAAGAAACCGTCTCATGGATCCAATACCCTCCAGAAGATGTCGTTGATCCCTTCGAATCAGAGTTCTCCTCCCATTTCTTCTCTTCCGTAGATCACCTCGACGGTCCAGAGAAGCCACAGACGATCGAGGAGACTCCTAAGCATGACGCTCATCAAGCCATGGCTCCTCCTAAGTTTAGGTCCTCCGTGTTGACCGTTGGACCGAGCCATTGTGGAAGCAACCTGTCTACGAATGATCATCAGGTGATTACTCAGCCTCCGGTTTCTATCAGTGATAGAACCAAGAACGTCGAAGAAAGACTTGACCTTTCGTCCGGTGGCTCGTCCGACTGCAGCTACGGAAAGAACAACAAAGAAACCGGTAGTGGAAGAAGCGTAACCATTGGCCGTAAAAGAAAACATGTAATGGACACTGATCAAGAATCTGTCTCTCAATCTGATGTACCCTTAATCTCAAACGATGATCAAGCCATGGGAAACAAATCGAGCCAACGGTCAGGATCTACCCGAAGAAGCCGTGCGGCGGAAGTTCATAATCTCTCTGAAAGGGTATGTACTTCTTTTAAGGTTCTATTGTGTTTTTACATTTACATATTAAATTGTTATGTGTTCTAGCAACAATTCTGCTAACTTTAACGTGATATTCCTAATTTAAGTGAAGATCTTTAACAAAAAAGATATTCCTAATTTAAGTGTTAACATCCTGCTACTTTTTGTGATTTTGATTTTTATAGAGGAGGAGAGATCGGATCAATGAGAGAATGAAAGCTCTTCAAGAACTCATACCTCACTGCAGTAAAGTAAGTTTCTTCTAAGAAAAATATACTAAACGAAATCAAGTGAATTAAGTTGAAATTAAATCAATGGAGATTGATTAATGGTATGTTGAATTTTGATTCTCTAGACAGATAAAGCTTCCATTTTGGATGAAGCCATTGATTACTTGAAATCACTTCAAATGCAACTCCAAGTGATGTGGATGGGAAGTGGAATGGCGGCTGCAGCTGCGGCAGCAGCAGCGACTCCGATGATGTTTCCCGGCGTACAGCCGTCGCCGTACATTAATCAGATGGCTATGCAGAGTCAGATGCAAATGCCGCAGTTCCCGGTTATGAACCGGCCCGCTGCACAGAATCATCCCGGTTTAGTTTGTCAAAACCCGGTACAGTTACAGATGCAAGCACAGAACCAGATCTTATCGGAGCAGCTCGCTAGGTACATGGGCGGGTTTCCTCAGATGCCGGCGGCGACGACTCAGGTTAGTGACAAAACGACATTGTTTTGATGAGAGAGAAGTAATTTTATTTGCATTTTATTTATTTAGTTTAATAACTGACGTGGCATGTTGATTTAAAAATGTAGGCCGTGCAAGTGCAACAGCCAGTGGACATGTTGAGATTTGGGTCTCCGGTGGGACAGCAAAGTCAACTGTCGGCGCCGGTTACCACCGACAGTCTTCGTTTGGGTAAAATAGGCTGACGTGGCATATTGGTTATCTTTTTCTCCGAGATTATATTCTTACAGTAATTATTATTTATTTTTGGAGGCATAAACGTGGAACTTAAGAAATGTACTTTACGACAACAAAAAAGAAATGTACTTTATATAGATCTAAGATCTTACAAGGTAGTCAACTAGTCATACTTATAAAGTATTCAACAGTTAAGTGACATCAGTTTAACTGTTGTCTGTTGAGAACGAAAAGATACATGTATCATCAATGCTGTTTCATATTTTGTCCGAGAGTAATTACTAATTAGCATCAACATAATTTAGTTGATGATTTCAGTGGTTTCCAAAAACAGTATAAAAAGGCTTAGTTGGGCCTGAAAAGACATTCTCACGGGCTTGATTTCAAAAAGTCTTATCAATTTGTTCAAAACGCATACGCGAAACGCTAACGTGATTTACTCCATCACGATACCTACGTAACGAGTCCAAGTGTCCAACTGGCTTCTCCAAATTCGCCAAATTTAATAGGCCGGTGAAGCCAAATTACCGATTTTGTCCTCTTATCGTGCACGTGTCATACAATCAGAGCGAGTTTATCCTGATTTATATACTCGAGCGTGTAGGATCAAAATCAAAGTGGAAAATAAAGCAAATTTAAAATTAATCCCAACCAATAACATTCATGCACCTCAGCAATCTCAAACAAACACGATTAATATAAAAAAAGCTGCGACTCCTTAACCTGTTGTCCCCTCTCTCTCTCTCTCTCTCTCTCTCTCTCTGATACCTGAGTTTGCCTCATTGTTTGCTTAGATTACTCATTCGATTCTGATCGTCGCCGATTCAAAAATTAGAATTCGGAAGATAAGAGGAATCGCATGAATTTGTTTGGAAGACTGGGTTTTACATCTTCGAATTCAAGCTACTTTAATACTTCGTGTCTTCTGATCTCAATCCTTAGTTTTTCTCCTCAATTGCCGATTTCGCTCTTTCTTTTCGAGCAGAAATCGTTAGATCCTTTATCGCCCAATAGTAATAGTTATTTTTATAATCTCGAGAGAAATTAGTCTGAGCATTGTTGATTCATGGAGTCGGAAGGCAAAACTGATCGTCAGCTGAATAAAGGTACTATCATCTTACTTTTTGTTTGTTTGTTTGTGTGTGTGTGAAGTCTTTAATCCTTTGTGTGAAGTATTATAGTTTCTGCTACATAATTCGAATTTTGTTGTCCTCAATTTGTGTTGTGCCCTTGTGGCGAAGTTTTCGTTTTTGGTGATCTGATTTGCTTTGTTTAGCTGTATTTGCCAATTACCAGTACAAAATTTTGGGGTTTGTTTGATGAAGATATCTCTGCTGTGCTATGTAAGTAAATTTCCATGGGTTTTAGCGTCAGTGATCTAAAACGTTGCATGTGTTGTCAGCTACTTCCGTCTCAACTGGTGAAAGGATGAAGAAGAGATCACCTTCAGTGATAGTGATTGGAGGTGGTATGGCTGGGATTTCAGCTGCTCGCACTCTTCAAGATGCTTCCTTTCAGGTTTGTAACAATACGAGCGATGCAATCTTAAGATTACAGTGTTGTGAGGAGGAAGGAATATAAGTACATGATTATAACAAAACAGGGTCTTATTATCTGTGTTCATTCGTTTTTAGGTTGTGTTATTGGAGTCCCGAGACAGAATTGGTGGTCGAGTTCACACCGATTACTCATTCGGTTTTCCTGTTGATTTGGGTGCATCTTGGTAAAAATCATGAGCCTTTCAACATATATTTCTCGTTGTTCGGTGTTTAGATCTTTTGTCAGATGTGCTAACTAAGTGACATCTGTCTGTGACAGGTTGCATGGTGTTTGTAAAGAGAATCCTTTGGCTGCAGTGATCGGGAGATTAGGATTACCTCTTTATCGTACTAGCGGTGACAATTCGGTCTTGTATGATCACGATCTTGAGAGGTTTGTACAAACAGTTTTGCCTATTAATCATCTCTATTTGTTTAGGACTCACAGGGAAGTTCTGTTTTTTTTTTTTTGCTTCAGTTATGCTCTATTCGATAAAGCTGGTAACCAAGTTCCTCAGGAGTTGGTAACAAAGGTTGGCGTAAATTTTGAGCACATTCTTGAACAGGTGTGTACTTTGGTGTCCAGTTTCTCTTTTATTATGTTTCTAGATTCTGCGTGTCTTTGACTTGCTAGAGACTTTGTTTCACAAATGCAGATCTGTAAAGTCAGGGATGAGCAGGTTGAAGACATGTCAATAGCTCAAGCCTTTTCTATTGTATTCAAGAGATATCCTGAATTGAGGTTGGAGGGGCTTGCCCATAATGTGCTTCAGTGGTACTTGTGCCGCATGGAAGGATGGTTTGCTGCTGATGCTGAAACCATCTCGGCAAAGTGTTGGGACCAGGTTAGTAACTAAATGGCCATATATCCTCGGTTTTAGTGGTTTATGCATGTTCTGGTTTCTTGATTTGTCAGCTAATTGTTTTCAGGAAGAGCTGTTGCCCGGTGGACATGGTCTTATGGTTAGAGGGTACCGTCCTGTCATCAACACTCTTTCAAAAGGTCTTGATATTCGACTAAGCCACAGGTAAGATTCGTTTATCAATGGACTTTCCACCATTATCCCGAGTCTGCAGCTAAAACCCCTCTTGCGCCTTTTGTTTTGTCTCAGGGTTACCAAGATTGCAAGGCGATACAATGGAGTGAAGGTGACTACGGAGAAAGGAGACACGTTTGTTGCTGATGCTGCAGTCATTGCGCTTCCTCTTGGAGTCCTAAAGTCAGGAATGATAGAATTCGAACCAAAGCTTCCAGAGTGGAAACAAGAAGCTATCAACGATCTCGGAGTAGGAATAGAGAACAAGATCATACTGAACTTTGACAATGTGTTTTGGCCAAATGTGGAGTTTCTTGGAGTGGTTGCAGAAACCTCATACGGATGCAGTTATTTCTTGAACCTGCACAAAGCCACAAGCCATCCTGTTCTTGTGTACATGCCAGCTGGTCAGCTAGCTAGAGACATCGAGAAGATGTCTGATGAATCAGCTGCCAATTTTGCTTTCTCTCAACTCCAGAAAATTCTTCCTGATGCATCTTCACCGGTACTGCTCTATTTCTATGAATCTATCTATCTTTCTCCGTAAGTCTCTATGTTATTTACCAATGTTTTAAGCTTTAATGAGATTTTGTTTTGGCAGAAAAATTATCTGGTGTCAAGGTGGGGATCAGACATCAATTCATTAGGATCATATAGCTATGACATAGTGAACAAACCTCACGACCTCTACGAGAGGCTGAGAGTGCCATTGGATAACCTATTCTTTGCAGGGGAAGCGACAAGCTCGAGCTTCCCAGGATCAGTGCACGGTGCTTATTCAACCGGACTGCTTGCTGCTGAAGACTGCAGGATGCGTGTGCTTGAGCGCTATGGAGAGCTTGAACATGAGATTGAAGAAGATGCTCCTGCCTCTATCCCGCTTCTAATCTCCCGTTTGTAATTTAATTTAACCTCTGGTGTTGTTTTTCTCGTTTTCATATGGGTTCATTGTTAAAGTATTGCTTAAATTTTTTATGAGATATCATTAAGCTCAAACTCAGTTTCAGGTCTTTAATCGAAGTCAATTGTGCAATGTGGGTTGTGTAATCCAAGAACTATCTTAAAGTATTATTAATGCCAATAGATAGAACTATGTTTCACACCATTGATCTGGTCACAGCCTTTCCTTTTCTTTCCTCACAACCATTTATCCAGTAATCCTTTTATGGATCAATCCAGAATAATTTGAATCCATTTGGTATCATCTCCCTAAAGGACCTACCAAGTTCAAACATCTATTTTCAGCTTTCTTTCCGACTCTACAAAACATTTTCATACAATCATTATTCATGAACTTACACAATTCGACACTAAACGAGTCTTCTTTCTTCTTCACATCACCAAAATACTGAAAGCAGCAGCTGCTTTGAAACGATGTCACAGAACATAATAGAGTTATCTGTGTAAATATCAAGTAAATATAGGGGCATCATTGTCAATTACCCCAGTAAACACCCCGCCTCCAGTTTTGGATCTAATTTTACCAGTGAGTTAAAAAGGTTTACTCCAGAAAAATCAAATTAAATTAAAATCCACTTTGAAGTTTTAATTTTGAAAGGATAAGAGTGAAGCATAGCTTTCTTCTTCTTCCTCTTGGCTGCTGCGACAGAGGAGAAGCTGCGAACTTTAGATGTCACAGACCGTAATTTTCAAGCCGTTTGTCTCAGTTCCATCAAGTAATCACAGGTTTCATTTGCTCTCTCTCTCTATCTACTTTTTACTCCTTTTATCTTTTGGAACAACTCTCATTTTGGGTGGTTTTGTAGTTGCTTTTGCTCTAGACTTTTCTTTCGTTATTCATCGACGAGTTTGGGATTATACTATGAACAAAGGGATCGCCTTTTCGAAATTTCAGCGGAAAACTGTTCTGGGTTTCGTTTAATATACTCGATTGTGTAAGCTGGAGCTGTATCCTTAAGGGGTTTATTATCTGAAGCCTAAATCAAATTAGCAGCAACTGTTAGGGTTTATCTTGTTCACCTCTGAATCAGAGATCTTATTCAGCTAAAGTTTTATTTTTTCATCTATAAAATTCGTCTATGTGTTTATCTTTGTGTCAGCCAGAGGAAACTACAGAACAACATCATAAATGTTGGTGTTAAAATCCAAAACCGGTTCAGAGTTGTTTGTATGGGAATGCTGGCTCCAAGGAAATTCCTGCAAAAGAGGAGGAAAATGGAGGTTTTCAAAGATGCAGCAGACGAGACGGATCAGAAGAGATGGAGAGGGCTAATGTTAGAGATTGAATCTACGGGTTCTGCAGTTTCAGTCCTTAGGCAATACAGAACCGACGGCGACCAAGGTCTTCCGAGGGACCTTGTTTTGGGTACTTTGGTTAGATTTAAGCAGCTAAAGAAGTGGAACCTTGTCAGTGAGGTATGGAGAACGAATGAGTCTCTTTTCATTTTAATCTACTGTTTGAGGATTTTGATATTGGCATTGCCAAAAAGCTGTGTTTGTGGTTCTTGATCCTTTGGTTCGTTTGATTTGCAGATTCTTGAATGGCTTAGATACCAAAACTGGTGGAACTTCAGTGAAATGGATTTTCTGATGCTCATTACAGCTTATGGGAAACTAGGAAACTTCAGTGGAGCTGAGAGGGTTTTAAGCGTTCTGAGTAAGATGGGCTCGAGCCCTAACGTGATTTCTTATACCGCTCTCATGGAGTCTTATGGAAGAGGAGGCAAATGCAGTAACGCTGAAGCGATATTTCGTAGGATGCAGTCTTCAGGTCCAGAGCCTTCTGCTGTAACTTATCAGATTATACTCAAGACTTTTGTAGAAGGGAACAAGTTTAAAGAAGCTGAAGAGGTTTTTGAGACTCTCTTAGATGAGAAGATATCGCCGTTGAAGCCTGATCAAAAGATGTATCATATGATGATTTACATGTATAAGAAGGCTGGAAACTATGAAAAGGCTCGAAGGGTGTTTGCTTCAATGGCTGGGAAAGGAGTTCCACAGTCTACTGTCACTTTCAATAGCCTTATGTCCTTTGAAACTAATTACAAAGAAGTTTCTAAGATCTATGACCAGGTGATCTGAATGATCCTAGAAACACCATCAAGAGATAAGTCTTGACCTGTAATATTAGTGGTCTGATTCTAATAACTGAATGTTTAACTTTTCAGATGCAAAGATCTGATATTCGACCCGACGTTGTAAGCTATGCTTTACTTATCAAAGCATATGGAAGAGCTAGAAGAGAGGAAGAAGCTCTATCTGTTTTTGAAGAGATGCTTGATGCCGGTGTAAGGTTAGTTTCTATGGCTGAAGAGTATGCCGAATGGTTTCTCTTTTGGATATGTTATTAAATCGTCTTTTATCGTTTTTTCAGGCCAACGCATAAAGCTTATAACATTTTGCTTGATGCATTCGCTATCTCTGGGATGGTGGAGCAAGCAAAGACTGTGTTTAAGAGCATGCGACGAGACAGGTAAACAATAGTTCTACTATGTTTGCTTCTGTGTTTTTGGATTGGTAACAGCAATTAACATGTTTTACCTCACAGGTTTTTGCCGGATCTTTGCTCTTACACAACAATGTTATCAGCTTATGTGAATGCTTCAGACATGGAAGGTGCTGAGAAATTCTTCAAGAGGATAAAAGTGGACTGTTTTGAGCCGAATATAGTCACCTACGGAGCAATGATAAAAGGGTATGCGAAAGCAAACGATCTTGAGAAGATCATGCAAGTCTATGAGAAAATGAGGTTAAGTGGCATCAAAGCGAATCAAACCATCTTAACGACTATCATGGATGCGTCTGGGAGGTGCAAGGATTTCGGAAGCGCTCTTGGTTGGTATAGAGAGATGGAGAGCTGTGGGGTACCACCTGATCAGAAAGCTAAGAATGTGCTTTTATCATTGGCTTCAACGCAAGATGAGCTAGAGGAAGCTAAGGAACTTACTGGTCTCAGAAATGATACAACAACCATCATTGCTAAAGTAAATGGATCTGATGATGATGAGGAGGAGGAGGAAGATTTTAGTAGTGATGATGAGGATGAGGACGAGGATGACTATGAAGAAGATGATGATGATGAAGCAGGAGAAACAGTGTTGTATGATAAAACACAAGAAGGAGAAACAGTGTTGTATGTTAGCTCACAGACGGAAGAGCTTGTGGGGTTATGAACACTGCGAGAAAGTTTTTTGTTGTTGTTTGTAATCATCTAAAGCCAAAAGAAAGATTTTGCAGAAGAGGACTAAGTAGCAGTGTGTCCATTCTTTTTGTCTCTAGTTAATGGAATGAAGTATGTTAGTGAATCCTAAGAAACAAAATTGTTTGTTATTTATTTCATATCTCTTGCCAACAAAACAGAGGAGGAAAAAAAAAACAGAATTGCTGTTGCAGTCATCTTAGACTCCTTCTATAGCCATCTCTTGATCCTCATCTGCGGAAACTTTTAACCTATGCACTGCATTTTCAACCTGCAACAGTTGCAGAGTAAAGGTAAGCACTTTTGACTCTAAAGAGAGAGAGAGAGAGAGAGATTGGTGACTGTTCTTACCTCGGAAGTCCAATTAGTTCTAAGTGTAAGAACAATCAAAGTTATAGTTTGAAGTATGACTCCTGCAATCATCCCCCACCAGATCCCCTGTAAAGAAAAACCTCCCAACTCTTATCATACTTAACAGATCAATACATAGGAAGCGAGAGAGAAGAGAAGAGACTATACAGCAACTCCAAGACTGGTTTTGAAGCCAAGGACACAGCCAATAGGAAGACCAATGACATAGTAAGTAACAAGATTCACATAAGCCACCACTGCTTGCCATCCACTTCCAATAGCAACCCCTTTACATTTACAATTTCACAAAGATTAATCCAAAGACCAATGATCAATCAACAAAAACTATTTTGTGTGTTTTTACCAGAGAGAATTGGTTGGATTCCGTTTAAGAAAATGGAAACGGCGAGCAGAGGGTAGAGGTCATAAACTGCAGCTATAACCTCTGTGTCGCTGGTGAAGGCTTTGGTAAGTCCAACGCGGAACACGAGCACCACCACGCATAAGACTAAGCTGATGAGAACAGTCGTGATGTTGACAACCACCACTGCTAGCTTCGCCACTCTTGGATTTCCAGCTCCTAGCTCGTTGCTCACTCGGACACTGACCAAAAAACGGCACGGTTTTTGCAAATGTATCATTTACATTTTAAACAAACTAATTGCCGTTTTTGGTCTAGTTAATTAATACCTGATTCCTGCACTTAGACCAAGCATAAACTGCATATCCCAGTTCCAGTAATACATGCTGCAGCAAAATGACTAGACTTGGTCAGGTTTGAGATTCATCTGTATTTGATATAAGTTAGGTGGTGATAAGTATACCATATCGAAACTGCGTCTAGAGAAATTGTTGGATTGGTGAGTAAACCGGAGATAACCACTAGCCCTTGGTTGTACCATATCTCCAAACTGCAGATTGTTTTCATTTCAAATTTATATCAGTTTTCTATAAACCAGAGACTTAACCGGGTTAACTCAAACATCTTTTGTGATTTACCATAGCATGACTGCTGAAGCTACCGTGAGCTTGAAGTAAGGCCAGATCCCTCTAAAAGCCCTAGCTGAAAACCCGGTCCAAGTCTCCTTACAATTCGGACTCATAAGAATATACACACCGTTCACAGCCGCGAGTAGCCACCACGAGAAACTCAGCGTCAGAGCCGCACCGAGCAAACCGAAATCAAGCACGTTGGTTACCAGCCACGTGAGTAACGTGTGGAGAAAGAAAACTCCTAAAGACATGTAAGCTAACGGGTTCACTATGTTCTGAGCCTGGAGGAACCTCTGCATAGGGCAAGCGAGTGCAAAAGCGTAGATCTGGGGAATCAACCCTCGCGCAAAGATCTGACCCTCGTGTGCGATTGCTGCGGTTTGGCCTATCGCCTTTAGGATCGGACCTGAGTACCAGTAGAGGAACGTTAGGAGGACCGCGGCTGCAAGGTGCAAGACTATGGCTCGTTGGCAGATTATTCCCATTGATGAGTACTGTCTTGCTCCGTACGCTTGACCACACACCGTCTGGACCGCGCTCGCCATTCCCAACTAGTCCATTTTATTTTCAAAATTTAAAATCGTTCAACGAGAATCAACTTTTAAATGAAACTTAAAAATTATATGGACCGAAAATGTTTATGCGTAGTTGCGTACCATGATACCATAAGCGAGGCCTTGGATGCCGACGGTGGCAATGGAAGCGCCGGCGAGTTGAAGGGAACCGAGATGGCCGGTGAACATGATGGTGACGAAGCTGAGCATGTAATTCAGCACAGAGACGACTATTGAGGCTCCAGAGAGCGTCCAAAGAAGCTTGGACTCCCAAACGGCCAGCCTTAGCCACCACCGTAGCCTCACCGTTGATCCATCACGGCGTAGAAACTCCTCTATCTCCGCTGAAGAACGTTCCGCTATCTGCGAGTCGGAGTGGAGCCGTCTCAATAGCGGCTCGTATGTCTCTGTGGAGCTCATGGTGAGCTACTTAGTTCGTCTTTATTTTTTCTCCTTCTTGTGGTGTTTGTTTTCTGATAGACCGGGAGTGTTTATATTAACAGTTTCTTTTGGTTATGCTGACTTGCTGAGGGTTCGAGTCGTTGACCGAAATGGAATTGATGGTTTGGTTCATTTATGACTGTTCGTTCGATCTGGTTTTGAGTGTATAGTGTAACAACCATTCTTTTGCTATTTATCATTCATGGACTAAAGATTCTATCCGATCAATTTTCTTTTTGTTTAATTCTTTGTCAGTTATTTAATTCTATTTTAAACTTTAGGTAAAAGTGAAACTTGTTTTCTTGTTGAAAGGAATATAAAAGACTCAAAGAGAGGGAAAGACATCTAAGCTACGACAGAAAATTAAGAAACCAACATCCGAATCAAATTAAATATTGAGTGTACATCAGAACCAAACGGTCCAAACCAAATAAAACCGAAGTAACTACTATACAGAAATTAAGCCACCGTTTTTCTCCTACTACGCTAATTTATTTTGCTTGCTATATTAAAATCATACGGACCAAACTAGAGTCAAGAGTGACTAGCCAAATTAAGTATAACGTACCTAATGTTCGTCAACGAACGTGAATGGATCCACCGGCTAGTCTCAGCTTGCCATGTACATCCTCCAATTTTACCACTTATGTGATCCTTTCGACCCTAAAAAATATACTTTTAGTTTGCTTTTTAAGAATAAGAAAAGAAAAGCTTTTGAGAAGTATTATGGCCTACCAAAAGTCGACCAGGCCCATTTACCGTTCTTCTCCAGAGGCCCAATTTTAACCATCGAACTATTCCAAAGAACAATTAGAAATTAAAGGACTGAAAAGAAGAAATTATTTGCGTTTGATGAACTGTGTCCCTGACGTAAGATGAAATCAATGAGTTGTCTATTAGGTCGGATGACCCCACCAAATTCAGAAGATTACTCATTATTTTAACCAATTATCAAAAGTGTTTTATTTACTAAACTTTCCCAGCATCTCAAAAGTTAATACATTAGACTCCTTTTTAGCTATTGAACTCATTTTTTTTTTGGTAATTGGAAGGAGAAAAAATTCTCCCTCTTGTATTATTAAAACTCAACCCGGTCTTACAAAACGAGTTCGTGTAGAGCCAAGTGCATCCTCCTTCACCAACTCTAAAATATCAAAGGGGGAAGAAGGAAAGAAGTGAAAACCTAATGACAAAGAGAAAGCATGGTTAGCTAGGCCATCTGCCACTCTGTTCGCCTCTCTGTAGACATGAACGACACGGACTATCCAGTCCCTTGTAATAAAGCCATAGCACAAACGTACTAGGAAAGACAGCGGATGTGTATCTGCTACCCCTGACTAAAAGAACCCCACGACGATCTCTGAATCCACCTCCACCACCAACCGTTGTACTCGCTGCTCCCACGCCATACATAGTCCATAGTATACGCCCCACAGTTCTGCCAACGGGGCTGACCAGACTCCAATATTGAGAGCAAATCCACATATCCAAGTACCATGCTCATCAAGTAAGACCCCACCAGCGGCCGCAATGCCTGGGTTTCCACGTGAGGCCCCGTCCATATTCACCGTTGTCCATCCACTACTTGGCGGTTTCCAGCCAATCTGTCTCTCTACTCTCTCAATTCTCTGTGTCCGGTCTTTTAACTTGGCGTGAGCACTCACCACCTCTCAGGCTTGATCTTTCACAAACCTCACTCGATCTCGGCACTTCCCAGGATGTTCAAAAACATTCCAACAGCGCCATTTCCACCCCACCAGACTCCCATAGCGAATAGTGTGGACCAGATATATCCATCCGTCTCCGTTCCATCCCCTAGGTTATCATACAGCCATCCCAACAGATGTCTTGTAAAGAACGCGCTCCTCTTATGTGCAGGCACTATTCGCTGCCACACCCCTGCCATTGCCGGACAGTCCCGCAACACATGTAATATAGACTCTTCTCCCCCTCTACATACCTGACAGACTCCGGTGTTACTAAGATGTCGTCGCTGCCGTTCCATATTAGTCATAATCACCTCGTTCCCTACCAGCCAGAGGAAAATCCTGACTCTCTCCGGCGCCAGTACGTGCCATATCTGCTTAAATACCGCCTGCATGTTTGGTCGAGGGCTACTATCTCGGGAAATAAAAGCATAGGCGAACCGGACTGAGAACTCGCCATTTTGCGTGTGTCCCCACGAGATTCTGTCTCTTGCTCCGGTTATCTCATCAAACACCACTGATGTTAACATTAACTTCACCTGGATAGGGATATGCAGCTCTATGGCGTTCCACCTCCATCCGACTCCAGGGCTCCACATGTCACACAGGCGCGCATCCACCATATCGACAGGGACCTCTGTATTAGCTGCCTGTTGTAGAGGTTTGCCTAGTAACCAATTGTCTTTCCAGAAACGGATGTTCCTCCCATCCCCTGGCACCCAACTCAGACCCGGTATCACCACCTCTCTCATCCCTTTGAGAATACTGCGCCAGGTGGAGGACCAGTTCCCTTTGGTATTGAACCATGTCGCCTCTCGTACATCGTGAACCTTATACTTCCCGCGTAAGACCCGTGCCCAGAGGGATGTTTGATCTTGCAGCAGACGCCATCCAAGCTTTGCGACGACGGCTTTATTCATATCCTGTGCTTTCCGGATTCCCAACCCTCCATCATCTTTGGGAGAGCAAATCTTGTCCCAGGCCACCAAGTGCTGTCGCCGTTGATTAGTAGTATCTCCCCACATAAAAGCTCTGGCTGTCTTGTCGAGTTGAGCCAAAGTCGACTGCGGAAGCACAATGGTACTCATCGTGTGAACAGGTATAGACGAGAGGACTGATCTTGTTAGGGTGATGCGACCTGCGAAACTTAGCATCTGCCCCTTCCAGCCAGCCAAACGTGTTGATACCTTCTCAAGAATGTCCCCAAAAGTATCTTTATTGATCCTCTTCTGGAGAACATGCATTCCCAAATACTTTCCAAGATCACGAGTGCATCCAATTCAACTCTCCGCACTAATCTGACTTCCCATCTCTCTGCTCACGTTATCCGAGAAAAAGATTTTGGATTTCTCCAAATTCACCTTCTGGCCTGACGCTACACAAAACTGCGTCAGAATCCTCCGCACCACTCTGATCTGGTGGACCGAAGCCTCTGCAAACAGTATAAGATCATCGGCAAAACACACATGAGACAGTTGCGGACCGCCTCGAGACAATCGTATCGGCTTCCATTCCTTCCTTCCCACAGAGATGTCAACAAGGTGACACAACCGTTCCAGGCAAAGTACAAATAAGTATGGCGACAAGGGGTCTCCTTACCGTAACCCTCGTTTCAGTGAGAAGTTCTCTGTTCTTTCCCCATTCCACAGGATGCTCATCGCCGGTCCCGTAACACACTGCATAATCCAGCCGATCCATGTCTCAGGAAGCTTCGCCACGCGGAGTGTGTCTTCCAAGAAGTCCCACCTCACTCGAGCATACGCTTTCTCCAAGTCAAGTTTCAAGAGCATCCAACCTCGCCTCCCTTTCTTTTTCCTCATAGAGTGCACCGCCTCTTGTACTAAGACAATGTTGTCCGTGCTTAACCTCCCCGGGATAAAGCTTGCCTGAGCAGGGCCAATCAGCTTTGGCATAATTTTCTTCAACCTCATCACCATTGCCTTCGTGATTGTTTTAAACAGAACATTACACAGGCCTATAGGACGGAACTGCGTAATCCTCTCCGGTTTCAACACCTTCGCGATCAGGACAACGACGGCATCATTGGTTCCAGGCGGTAAGACTCCTGTTCTAAAGAATTCAAGTACAAACCAAGAAACAGACTCACCAACCACCTCCCAGTTCGCTTGATAAAATATTGGCTGGTAGCCATCAGGACCTGACGCTTTATAGCGTCCCATGCTTCTAATAGACGCCTCCACTTCAGATTTGATGAATGGCTTGTTCATCGCTGCCAGCTCCTCCCCTGTCAACTGAGTAAAACCTTCTGGACTTAGTTTCTGAGTCACCTCATCGACATCATGATAAATATCATTTGATACTTTATCTAATTATTTAATTACTTGATGAAAATGTATTTTTGTTCACAATTTTGAAATTATTTTCTTCTTACAACATTCAAGCATATATTGATATAGACATTCTTTGGACATATATTTTAGTAGGGCGTGAAGAAAAGAGGTGACTAGGTCGAGGCAAGTCTCTGGGTTATATTGCGTCTCACGTGTTTTTTCACTTATTACCCACGCGCGTGCCACACTTACCAGACCCAACGAACCATTCATAAAACCCTAGTCCTTCTTCTCTTATACCTCTCTCTCTCTCTCTCTCCTCCTCGTCTTCCTCCTGATTTTGACTCTCGTCTCTTCGATTTCTACCGGAGAGGACCTACGGACGACTTTAAATTCGTGTCCTCCCGATTGCTTTTCGGATAGTCTCTTTGTGAATTTCCGATTTGCGCAGATGGATCTGCCTAGCCTTGCCGTTATCATTGGCGCAGCTGCTTGCAGTCCCAATCTCAACGAGCGTAAAGCTGCTGAGCAGAGTCTTGATCAGGTAAACGCAATTTCACTTTTTTTCGAAAAATTTAGTGGAGAATTAAGCTTATCCGAGCTCGGAGAATGGATTTATTTCTCTTATAAATAAGATTTGACTTGATTAGACTGTCGTCAAGAGTTTTAATTTTGCTTGGGAAATCGATTTTGCAGTTTCAGCACACTCCACAGCATCTGATAAGGGTGTTGCAAATAATTGTTGATGGTGGCTGTGACCCTGCTATACGCCAAGCTGCTAGTATCCATTTCAAGAATTTCATCGCTAAGCACTGGGAACCTCACTCTGGTACTTGTCTATTTGATTTGATCAAATGTCGTTCCATGTTAGAGGCTCTTGCTTGAATCGATCCTTGCTAGACATTCCTTTCCTTGCACTGAATTTTTCTTTTTTCCGTTATGCAGGTGATCAGAACAAAATCTTGCCAAGTGATAAGAATGTTGTCAGGGAACAGATTCTCTTATACGTCTCTCAACTTCCACCGATATTGAGGTAGCAGCTATTGTACACACCTTGCAGCACTCGTTAAGATCATGCCCTTTTTAGATACAGTCGTTCTTTGTGCTTAAGTTGTCCATGGACTGATATGTCTGTGTTATGTAGAGTGCAATGGCTTGATTTATTTATGCATATAAGTACATGATGTGAAAGGTTGATTTCTGTTTGTTGCTCCTCGTTATTGGTGTGTATGATGCAGAGTTCAGATGGGAGAGTGCCTGAAGACCATAATTTACGCTGACTATCCTGAGCAATGGTCCCTTCTCCTGGACTGGGTGAAGCATAACTTGCAAGACCAACAAGTTTATGGAGCGTTATTTGTGTTGCGGATTCTATCTTCAAAATACGAGTTAGTCTGTTTATGAAATATGAAATATTACTTATATTACGAATCTGGTTGTCCCTAAATGACAATATGCTCAAGGATTGTAGCTCAGGTTTTTCGCTTTTTTCCACTTTCTGTTTGTAGGTTTAAGTCAGATGAAGACAGGGCACCCATTTATCGAGTAGTTGAGGAGACGTTTCCACACCTTTTGAATATTTTCAATAAGCTTGTCCATGTGGAGAACCCTTCTCTTGAAGTGGCAGACCATATCAAGCTTATATGCAAGATATTCTGGTCATGTATTTATGTAAGTTTGTACATCTTATGTGAATTACTCTCAATCATTCTTCAATGCTCCTTGGCTTCAAATGGGAAATAAATAAAAGTTCTTGTAACGAGTTATGAATATCATATTAGGTGGTTTGTTTTGAAGTTTTTTTCATATATCTCTTTCATCCTTGTTCTATACAGCTAGAGCTTCCGAGACCATTGTTTGACCCAAACTTTTTTAATGCTTGGATGACTCTGTTCCTAAACATTTTGGAACGTCCTGTTCCCATAGAAGGTCAGCCTGAAGACCCCGAACTTAGAAAATCATGGGGATGGTGGAAGGCCAAGAAGTGGGTTGCTCACATTTTGAACAGGCTGTACACTAGGTATGGGGAACTATGAAATTTTATGCATTAACTTACAACCTCAGCTTTTTTCTTCTTTTTGCCTTTAAATATCAGTTTGAAAATCCTGCAATAGGTTTGGAGATCTGAAACTTCAGAATCCAGAAAACAAAGCCTTCGCCCAAATGTTTCAGACGAACTATGCAGCCAAGATATTGGAGTGTCACCTGAAGTTGTTGAATGCGATTCGTATTGGTGGATATCTTCCTGATAGGGTCATCAACCTAATTCTTCAATATCTAAGCAACAGGTTGGATATTAACTAATTTTATAGTTGCAATTTCTTTTGTTCCTTGAAAATGATATAAGCTTCATCTGTATCTGGATTCCTTTATCATGAGTAAGGTACCAGAACATCTTATTCACTAATTGTATCTCTGCAGTATCTCGAAGAATAGCATGTACAATCTACTGCAGCCCCACCTTAACGTTCTACTGTTTGAGATAGTTTTCCCACTGATGTGCTTCAGTGATAATGATCAAATGCTTTGGGAGGAAGACCCGCACGAGTATGTAAGGAAGGGTTATGGTATGTGCTTGAAGTCTTCCTTGTCTTGTATGGATAACCCTAAATTATGCCTTTTTAAATAACCCCATTACCTATTCTCTACAGATATAATTGAAGATTTATACAGTCCCAGGACTGCATCTATGGACTTTGTGACTGAGCTAGTCAGAAAGCGTGGAAAAGACAACTTCCCTAAATTTATACAGTTCATCGTGGGCATTTTTAAGAGGTACCTTGAAACTTTATTCACAAAAGATCGAAAAAGGTACTATATAATTTTGACCTAAGAATAATTACTTTTTGTATTGTTTTAGATATGATGAAGCACCTTTAGAACATAAGCCGTATCGCGAAAAGGATGGTGCTCTGCTTGCTGTTGGGACACTTTGTGATAAACTGAGGCAAAATGAGCCCTACAAATCTGAGCTGGAGAATATGTTAGTGCAGCATGTTTTTCCTGAATTCAGCAGCCCAGCTGGTCATCTAAGAGCTAAGGTTGTAGTGACTGCTTTTGGCTGTATAAGCCCCCTTTTCACTCGTTTACTGTTATACAAATCATACTTCTGTTCATTATTATCTATGCATGTGTTTGAAGATGGTGCGAACATCTACTATTCCTAGTCAAATAATTATCTGATGTTTAAAATTTTATCCTTCTCCACCAAATGCTTGAATTTCTCTTCTACTACTTTGTGACTGAAGTTCATATTCTTCACGAAGGATGAATTTTGTGGTAATAGGATATGCGGTGCCTGCTTAGATATTGCTGTGACTGAAGCTTTTGTTCATCATTATCTTTCTGGGGTTGCTCTGACAACGTAACCTGTGTTTGTTAAACAGTTTTGCATCATCCATATTGCTTTCAATGGATACTATAACTTCTCAAGCTTATTACTCAACGTTTCATCTTTTGTGTAGGCTGCATGGGTTGCAGGGCAGTACGCCAACATCAATTTCTCAGACCAGAACAATTTTTCCAAAGCATTGCATTGTGTTATTTCCGGAATGCGAGATCCAGAACTTCCTGTTCGGGTGGATTCAGTTTTTGCTTTACGTTCATTCATTGAAGCCTGCAAAAGTAAGTATTAGCACCACCAAAACATGTGTCTGTCTCTTAAAATTTCCCTGCCCTCTTCCATATTCTGATCTATTACAGTTAACACGAATTAGTATACATTCAACTAAATTTTCAATTCCCTGCAGATTTAGACGAGATCCGCCCACTTCTGCCTCAACTTCTTAATGGTACGCTTTTCATATGATTTTGCTGGGAGTTATACTTATTTCTAGTTCAGCTCAATTTAAAGCTACAACCGAACACAATGTCAATCAACTTAACTAATCGGTATGGACTTGTGCTGTGCAGAATTTTTCAAGCTAATGAATGAAGTTGAAAACGAAGACCTTGCTTTTACTTTAGAGACTATTGTGTTTAAGTTTGGAGAAGAGATTTCTCCTTATGCTTTGGGTTTATGCCAGAATTTGGTAAGTTACTATTCCGTTGTGTTCTCATTTTGAGTGTTATTTTGCTTATAGCACTATTATACCCTATTTTTGTTAATAAATTCCAGGCCAGTGCATTCTGGAGGTGTATCGACACTGACAACGGTGATGATGAAACTGATGATTCTGGTGCATTGGCTGCAGTGGGATGTCTCCGTGCCATCAGTACAATACTTGAATCGATCAGTAGTCTCCCTCATCTCTATGGTCAGATTGAACCACAGTTGCTGCCAATAATGCGTAAAATGCTGACAACTGATGGTCAAGGTATGCATAATGTTAGAGAGATTCCATATAAATGGAGTTGTTAGTTACTATTTCTTGGGGTTCCTTTGAATGTGGTATATTGAATGCATTGGGGTTTATGTAACTTGTGGATTTTGATCTAAACATGATGATTCATTCATATATTATGTATGGCCAGATGTGTTTGAAGAGGTTTTGGAGATCGTCTCCTACATTACTACTTTTTCACCTACGATATCATTGGACATGTGGAGTTTATGGCCTTTGATGATGGAAGCACTCAAGGATTGGGCTATTGACTTCTTTCCAAGTATAAAATGCAGCGTCTTTCCTTGCTGGTTTTTTTATTTTTATTATCATAGAGTTTCATTCAGTTTTCTCATATACTTTCCTTTTTGTTTGATCTTTTGAATATCATATCAGATATATTGGTTCCTCTGCACAACTACATATCCAGGGGGACTGAACATTATCTCGCTTGCAAGGAACCAAATTACCAGCAAAGTCTTTGGAGTGTGATCTCTGCGGTAAGCTCACTATCTGCTAGTACGTTTACTCATATAAATAAAATAATAGTTGGTGTCTTCCTTCCTCCTCCCAAAATACGCATACGGATATGGATTGATTTGTTTATTCTTTCTC